TACTGACAAAAGAACTTGTTCTCGTACCAATAAAAGTTATCTAAAGTTTTAAAATCTAAAAACATATATCTATTCTCTGGTTGAATATCGAGCAAAATTGGTCACATTTTTATGTAAAACATTTATATGGCATGAACGGACATGAGAAACAGTTTATAACATAGTCAGCGTGCGCCCATCCAGTCAAGATTAAACTTCATTATAAGTCTTTCGTCATATCTCCAATTTTTTTCATCCATGTTTCTATCCATGGCTGAAATCAAATACTTTGATAAACTCATGTACTGCAGCTACTTGATATCAGATGACGGTAGGGAGCTACGATAATCGTCGAGGTCTTTCTTTCCAGTTTCACCAAAGGAAACTTCCGGATTTCATTTCGATCTGGTTCCTTAGGCTTCAGAGGAATGTGGTAAGGAGAGTGATTTTAGAAAATGTGGTAAGGAGCTCGGAGACGTCTCATTTTCTTCACAAATGTTTGCTCTACACGATCAACTTATTTGAAAAGAATTCTAGACTGACGTTCGAGACTTGGTTTTTTGAGATTTGGGTTTTCTAGGGACCCTGATTTCAGGAGTTTTTATGGAACCTTTGTACACGTATCCTGAGATCGGAAATTCTTTCATCTGTTCAAATTTATTCTAGCTATTATGGTCATGTAATAATTGCAACTAGACGTATTTATACGTCGCCCGGACTCAAAGGGTTATAATAGTGTACAATTTTACTTCTACCTGTGTAACACAAGGAAGATAAAGAAGGGAACGAAAAAAAGGACAAATGTGAATAAATAATTTGTTAACTGTACTACACTACCTAATTATAAGACCAGCATAACGTATGGACAATGAGTTTCACAATACATTATTCTCGTAACAAAAAGATAATCGAACAATGGCAAACGCTCTTGATTCATAATGTTTTACAGGTTTTTCCGCGGTCTTTCTCGACCAAAAATTTCACGTCTTTGGATTATTACAATATTCACGAAGATAGAGAGCTCAAAGTTTATTTTGAAGGAAATCAGAAGTAGTAGTAACAATAGTAGAAATCAACTTGTTCGGGTGTAGTTGGGTAAGAGCTTCTATCGACTTGCTTTTCGGTAGGTTTACAACTTCGATACTTATTGAGTCGTACCACCTGTGTGTTATCCTAAATTGTTGTCGATTTAACCCTTCTAGTTGATTTTGTTTTCTGACTGACAAAATTGGGTATATGTTTAGAAGTGATTGATAACACGGACGGATATATGAATTATAAAGTCAATAGCTCACTCAACATGCGACTATACGCAGACTGCTTAAAGCGGATAGAATTTTTACGTATAAACTTGATATGATGTGAAAAAGAGAGTTTGGCATCAAGAATAGTGCCAAGATCTTTGAATTTTGAAACATGAGAAACAGTGTGATCCTGACGTTGAAGATCAGGAATGATAGGTTGCATATGAGAGAAGGTCAAAAAAGTTTTTTGAAATTTGATAGATTCTTTCCACATCTCAGAATAACAGATTAGTCGCTTGAGAACATCTCTTACTTGTTTAACTAGCTTCGGGATCAATGAGGAAGATGGCCAGTATGCCAAAGAAGCTCAAACAAGTTTAAGGTCACCCGCAAATAAATGTTTCCAGTAGATATCCGAAAAAGCGTTTAACAAATCATAGTGGTACACAATAAAAATGATAGGGTCAATACCACTACTTTCTAAAAGGGTATAGAAAGTGCAACCATTTTAAAACCATTTTAGATTTCGTGTGAACTCCTTTTGGGTTTCGTACTTCGACTACGAAAGCTTTTATGGCTTTGGACGGACACAAAGGTTTTGTAGTGGAGGTACGAAACCCAAAAGGAATTCACACGAAACCTAAAACGGTTTCGAAATAGTTGCACTTCTCTACATCCTTTTACGTTTCGTAATAAACCTATCTTTTTTAGAGAGTACCCTGAGATGCTCCTTTGAACAGATGAAAGAGTACAGATTTCAATCCCTTTATCTCAATATAGGCTGTCCGATCTATTAGATAGAAATCATATAGTGATTATCCTTCTTGTATACATTAGGGGTGGTACATTACTATTACTTTTAAGAGTAATCCAAATATTGTATATATTCCTATTACCAGTAACAGTAATATTTTCCAGTTTTACTGTTGCCGGTACAAATTTTCTGAGCGTTCCTATTACCAGCAACAGTAAAACTGGAAAGTATTACTGCTACTGGTAATAGGAATATATACAATATTTGGATTACTCGTAAAAGTAACAGTAATGTGCCACCCCTAGTATACATAGATTAAATAATTTAACATTTTATGATTCTATTCGTTCTAACAATACACGTTTTCAAACAAACATTCAGCATTCACGTACAACAGATGATTCTTGTATTATGTTCAAACAGTTGAATTGCACAGAATCGCATTTACGTTTTACTTCAATTTATATATTATGTATGCGATTTCTTTTCTTGCGAATAAAAAGCATAGCCGAAAAAGAAAATCAGTATACTTTCACAGTATCTCTCACCTTGTCTTTTATTAATATTATTCATTTTTTTTAATATATTTCCGTCGTACACGTAAAAAATCAACATTATATTTCTCTTATTTTTGCATAACTATACACACACATATATATTTATATGTGTAGATATAAAAACAATGCCTGTATAGTATAACAGAATGAATAATAGTCATAATTGTACAGAAAATCTTTTATATTTATCACTACCATCAGCTATAATAATTGATATCGATAGTAATGGTAATAATTTAAATATTATTTATATTCTAATTCTTACTTTATTCGTTTGTTTCTGTTATATAAACATGTTGTATAGTTAACATGTTGTATAGTTATTGAACGTATGCTAATTGAATTGGGTCATATTTCATTGTGTGGTACAAGAAAAACTTTAGTTATTGAAATTACAATTGCAATTCCTGTTATAACAATCTTCATTGTTTTCTCAAGACTATATGGCAGTCATCAATTATCACCCAATAAATGAATCTATGTTCATATCAAAATCGTGTTCTATTTCTTGTAAATAAGATAATATGTTTTCTTCTTCCCTGCCTTATTCATTTTATATGTTGTATATGGCTTTTATTTAAACGTGTTGAACGGAAACGTTATTTGATAGAAAAAAGCCTGAGAAAACTGATAGTGCACGAGTTTCAACGACATATTAATACTTTTTTACCCTCAATTGTTGTCATTTTATCAACATTACCACATTTACTATTTAGTCTTCAAAGAACTCAACAATGTATTAACAATCGAAAATCCTTACGTTTGCATATCACATTTCTGTTATTAAATTATTTTGCGTTAATAACAACATTTTTTATTTACGTTTATCCATCACAAACGTATATGTCAAAATTCAGACAGATCAAAGAGTTTCAGTATATCAGGAAACAAATTTATGATTGGTCATTGACTAGAAGAGATCCGTCTTCATCTAAGTCATTGTCATTGAATATCATCAATAATACTAAATCAGTTCAAATCAATCAGTCAATTTCTTCTTCATCAATACAAATCGAATTAAATAGCATAAAAGAAAATCATTCAATTATTGAAGTTACACCATCAATCGATATAAATATGAAACAAAATAATCTTGAAACTTATACACTTATCTATTGCACTTCTACAGTTAATAATTTAATAGAAGAAAATAAACAATTTCAACTAAAACTTCGACAATTAATTAATTACTTAAAAATATTTAATCAACTTCATCAATGTCAACAATATATTGACCAAAACAAGGAGGAAGAAAAATTTATTTTAATTGTCTCTAATCAGTGGGCAAAACAATTAATTCCGTGTGTTTATCATTTACAGCAAATCATTCATATCTATATTTATGATACAGACAAAGATAAGAATGCTGAAGAATGGGCAAATAAATTTGATAAAGTAAGTCAATTATTTTTGTGTTTTGTTCGTAACATTAATTTAATTTGATTATATGCCTATATAGTAGAGGTCGAGTACTTTTACTCTAATTCTCGAGCGCTCTTCATGTTGTTTGCAAGCCTGAGATGTTGAAATGCTCTAATCGGGTAAAATATGAGTTTTTCTTGGTTGATCGTCTGTAGCCGGCTAATTGATTCGTCACAGCTCATGGCGATTCAGACAAAATCGCACTTAATCACCGTGTCATATAGCAGTCTTGATTAGTTGATAAATCGCTGGAAACTCCTCTTTTCTTTTGCTCGCGATTTTAGTCAAACAGCGATTAAATGGACACCCAACCAACAAAGAACTAGCCGACCGTGGATCATTCACTGCGTTTTACTTTGAGTCTCGAGGAAAAATTTAAATTTGAATGATGAGACTTGTTATTCGGAAGCCTCATCAACTTCTCGAACGAAAAGTAGCTTTTTTGTCTATATTTCAAAGAGCTTTCTCGTCTCAAGAGATTAGTACTAGAGATCGGCACGAGCCGAACATTTCTGGCCCGATAAAGAAAGCGTGACACCAGAGCACGACCCGGCCCAACCGACCTTAAAAGTTTTACGGTCCGGCCCAAGGACAGAAGATGGAGGTCTGAGTCCGGGCCGACCTTTTTCAGTTGTTCACAGTCTCTTGCATCTTTAACGCAAATAGGCTTGGTTGAACAATTGCTATAAATGAGTTTCTAACACAACCCTATCAGTTAAATTTTCAGACTTTTTTCAATCTTGTATGCACTAGATAACCTGTTTATTGGGTTACATATTAGAAAAAGAAATATTACAGTATTCATCACGAACATGCTTAAGCTAAATATAATGGTTTTACTAATGGATTTAACTAGAAACATTGTTCTAAAGCTAAGCATGGCATCTGTCACAGTGATAAAATGCTGTACTGCAAATAATAAAGTGTGTTATTAAGATCACCATCTTCGAAAGCATATATACTGTCATTCCCAGCAAAAACGGATGAGATAAAAAAGTGAAAAAAACATCGCCATATGGTAGATTTGAACAATCGACTGTTGAATGTGAGGCATTTACAGCACAGATAGTAGACAAGTAGACTATATCAATAATCTCAGTGGGTAGAGCCAGAAGGTCACTTCTTAGTGTGTGCTTTAGACACCTACGCCCAAGCGTCAAAAAAAAATCTAGTATCGCCCGATTCATCTAGATTATTAGATTTTTACTCGATTGCAACTAGTGTATAACGACAGTGGAAATCTAGTAGCTGGGCGATTATTAGATTTTTTCTAGTTGCAACTATCGATTTATCGTCCGATAATCGATCGATTTAACTATTACTAGATGCACCTGCAGACGCATCTAGTTAAAAGTCCCTTTTCCAACTAGTAATCTAG